ATTCTACTACCTTCTACACCTGCAGCCTGTGGGCTAGATTCACTCAAAACTCGTACAACGCCCTCAGAGTACTATCCTCAACAATATAACAATGCGTTCAAGATGCGCATGTAGCGCATCGGGGATGTTTACGGACGCACACGTAGACTGCTTTTACGCAACGATGCGGAAGAGGTGTGCATCCCTGGTGCGCAGGGTTCGGGCCAGCACTAACAGCATCCTACTCATGATATCGAGTAGGCTGGGTTGTACGTATGTGAGTCGCTGCTGTGCTGTTTCTGCCGGGATTGCACAGCGGTAACCCACATCACCCCAAGGTTGACTGGAAGAAAATGCCTATGGCATTAAGTCCGCCTTATGCAATGTATTTGCAGAAAGTATAAATAAATAAATAAATAAATATATACAAAAGTCCGCAAACTATTTATTCCAAAAGCGATCATACAGTCTACACAAATACACGAATTTGTTGAAACCGTTTTTAATAGTGTGCTGCGATGGCCACATTTTAGATGCCTTTGGGTCATATTCAGCCATAGAATCAGATGCACAAATAATGAAAAATATGATTGACGACGAAGGAAATCCTTGGTTGGTTATGAAGCTCACTTACCGAAAACAAAAAATCGAGACGAAGATCAATTGACGACAGAACAAGCGAATAAGTTACCTCAAAACACGGTTTACTTTCTCAAATGACACACACCCCAAGCTGTTGAGATCGTCTGAGAACCTGCAACTAAAAATGCCGGGACATTCCACTAAATTCCTCGACGTCTCCTTCTCTGTTAAAGCGGTTCGGTTGTGGAACGCCCTACCGGTCGTAATAAGACGTGCACAAACACTTGATTCCTTCAAGAAACAAGTGAAAGCACATTACCTAGGAGACATAAATGTACAATAATTATTAACCGCCTTTTAAGTCAATAAGGTTACATTATTTCTTATATTTAAGTATATATATTTGTATTATTATTTGTATATTATTAATATACAGAGAGTTTCATTTCCTATCCCAAGTACTTAAGCCACATATTCTGCCCTTAATTTCTAGGCGATTTGCAAAATATGAACAAAATATATCCAGTAGTTTAGCCACAGGACTCATTTTTGTGTTTCGTAAATTGCAACATCATGTGTACATGCAGTCATAATACATTGACCTCAGGCGGCGATCAGCTGTATACGCGGCGCGGTAATCACACGTTGCCGCTTTTACTACACCCGAATCGAACGAAATATGTTGATTATTACGTCATCACGATGCAACACGCGTTTTTAATTAGTTCATCCAGTAAGGACAGTCAGTCGGCCCTTGGCCACCGGCGAGCTTATGCTATTCCGTATCCTTGTAGATGCGCTCACGACAAATAACCGTAATAATAATATTGTTGTTGTTTATGAGATACATATTTGTTTAGAGAAGTTTTCTTGTGGTAATAATTGTTTAGTCTTATTGCTTTCGTCATAATACACGGCAATGGTGTGAACAATTAATGTTATCGTGTGCGCAAGACTTCGTAATGTAAGGAGTCCTGCTAATTTTATTTTGAAAAGTCACTATTAGGTTCTGTGTGTAGTGTAGTGTGAAACTGAGTGCATTATCAGTCTTTTAATTTTATTGGGTTATCGATATCAACATCCATAATGCCGTGAGTGACCTTCACAGCGGCGGAATATCCTGCTATGATGTTAATTTATGGAAAACTCTATCAAAACGCATCTTTTGCTTTACGGACACGTATGGAGTCAATCGTGTATGTCCTACAGACTGCCGAATTTTTGTAAGGGCGGTACAAAGATTACGAGACAACCAAGGTAACTACTTTTTCAAGGAGTGACGCGTACTGCTGGGTCGGAAGCTAGTCGAGCATTCACGAAATAAACACGTGAATAAAATCGCATTCTTTATAAATAGATTTTTAAAAGCAAGTGAAGTGATTGGTAGGTAGGTAATAAGAATGTAAAGTTCGCTCTGCGCGGCGGCGGCTGCGGCGGCGGCGCCGGCTGCGGCGGCGGCGCCGGCGGCGGCGTCGTTTTGATGTCGCCGACATTGCGACGCTGCCGTGTAGGTACAGTTCACCGACTCATGTTATCAATGGTGTTCTAATTCGGAAATTATTTTATTGTATTTAGTTTGTTCTAAATTTGCATTTCTGTATTTTCGTACTAATTTTTTATTTTTTTATTTTAACCGACGTATATTGAACCGTGTTATCTGTTATTTCATTTTTTGTGATATCTATACCGCCACAGTGTATATTATAGATATATTTAAGTATATACATTTGCGTGTATTTATAAATCACATTATTTTATTTATTTACTTGTATGCATCTAATAACACCACCAGTCTTCTTTAGCATATAGTATATGGCATATTCCTTCTAATACCTATGTCATATATTCACCTAAGTCGTATCAGAGTCCTAGACCTAGTCCTACCAGTTATTTTTTTGTTGTAATTATCACTTTTTTTTTAAATATTTATATAGATGCTACATTCATTTCCTCTTCTAATCTACTCGTATTTTCTTAGTACACCAGCCACTACCCTACACCTCCTTGCCTTTATGTTTTTCTCTCCATACCAAGGTTGCCTGTAAGAGATTGCCTCTGAGCGATAAGGCCGCCATTTGTACCTGTCTAACCTAGCTTAAGTTAATCTTTATATATTTATACCTGGTGTACAATAAAGAGATTTATTATTATTATTATTATTATTATTATTATTATTATTATTATTATTATTATTATAAGTCTAGGTTGGTTACTATGTGCCGCTGGGTTGTTGAAGTTATAAATGGTTGGTTCAAACGCGATTTTAAACTATTCCGACAAGACTTTTTCAATCGTGCTTTGCCTCATATGATGACAGATTTTAGAATAGGTGCTGCATTATTGAATGCTTGCAGAGAACCATTGTCAGATAGCGTTCACGCTGAAACATTTATAGAGGTTATAAACCAAAGAATGAACCAACCAATAACCTAGCAGAGTATGTCCAAGCCAACAACCTTAATCGTAGACGGGCTAGTTTCGATAGCATTACAGGAAACCAACCTAACATAAGTGATTTTCCTTTGCTGACTGAGGAGGATTTAACCATTTTTGCACTTGGTACATACCAAGTGAAGCTAGCCCGCAGCTTTTATGCGGAGCATGTGCGGCAAGGTCTCTATAATATAGAAACGTATAGGGATCCCGATGTTACAGGCCTAGGCAGGTACGGCATCACAGCAACAAATGTTTGGCTGCTAAGATGTCGAATACAATCTAGACATACTAGGTCAAATATATATTATTCGTACATTATAGTAGATAGAGAGAAAAGCGGCAGAGAAGCCATAGAAAACTACTATTGCAGTTGTCTAAGCGGTAAACGCACTCTTGGTTGCTGTGCCCACATTATGTGTGTAGTGTGGTATTTAGGGTGGGCGAGAAACCAAGAGGAAGAGATCCGTTTACCAGCTCATTTTTTAAACGATGTTATTGTAGACGACAATTGAATCCCATCATTTTATTTTTTTAAAGGAATACTAGCATTATATACTAGCATTATATACGAGCATTGTAAATGTGTCTGTCAATAAATCGATGTATTTAATAACCAATAAACCTTTAGTTTTATTTAATCCATCATTATCTTATACTTAGATATGCATTACGTTTTATCATTTACGTACTTTCGGTTTAATTAATTCGATTTTTTTATATGATCAACGCTTTATAACTTTATATCTAAACAAGTTGCCGAATTATTTTTTTGCAGTCTTAATATATACATAATTGTCGACTAAAAAATATATAGGACAGATGTGGCCGCCGATGGGACAAGCGCCATACATTTTCGCCCATTGTCCTTTTCGAAAAATATCCTGTAATAGCCAGGAATATGGTGTCCATGTAGTAGTGAAAGAAGATCCTCTTTTTTCTTTTCGGCTAACCCCAGTTTTCTATTGAAAGCGTTCTTTTGTTGGATATCATTAACTGACTTCTTTTATATAACCACAGACGAAATTAAGAGCATTTCGTCCGCATAAGACGTACGATAGTAGATTGCATGGGGATCATCTTTTATCATCTATATTAAATCATCTTTTTGATCTTCATCCTTGTAAATTGCAAAATTCATTTGATTGAGCACAGCCTTCCAATCATAAATGTCACTGTAACATAATTCATTTACATGTATTGGCTCTGACTTTCTTCTTGCAGCTTTGATTGCCCCAATAAATCCTTCAGGGGTAAAAACTCCACTTCTTAACTGTCTTTTTACCTGGCGTTCAATTTGGGAGTGGGCCGAGTCTCCTTCATTCTGTGGACCTAAACTTAATGAGAAACTTATGTGTAATGGAGTTTATGTTTGGAAGCTAGGCGCAGCATAGAGATACATAGCCATCATTAATCTATTCTTCTGCTGGGCAGCACAGTTGTCGGAGTATAAAACAACGTCCATGGAATTTCGTCCTTCAGAAATCTTCTTTAAGTATTGGAAAACGCAGGTGGCAATCTCATTCACACCCCTATGATCCTGGAATTCATCCCACACGTAACTTTCAATGGAGTTTGTTTTGAGATCATACATTTTCAGGTTCAATATGTTCAGTTTTAATTTATAATAAAAAATGGATGTGACTCCTTTCGGGCACTGAAACACAGCTTGCAGGTCAAAAACAGCCACAAAAATGTCCTTGTTTTTTTTATCTATCTCCTTCTTATTTTGTCTTATAGTGAAACGCACCAATTTATTTTACTCTTTATTTCTTGGTTATAATAAAGGTTTATACTTTTATTTTTAATCACTGGAAAACACTAAATTCAGTTAATACTACTGAGCGGGGGAAACCTCTTGTCAAACCTGTTTGACACTCCCTGTCATTACTTTTTTACTGACACTCTATATACCACACTCGCCCCCCTTTAAAAAGCTCTTATTTTTTTTTTTTTTTTTTTTTTTTAAAGTTAGATAATTGAATTATTAGGTAGGTACCACAAATTTATAAATTTAACCTAGTAGGAGCTTTACAGATTCTAGTAGATCTTCTCAGCTCAGTATTATTAGAATTACTTAACAAAGATTTCTGAGAAACCTGTTCTTCCACACAAACATTTTTTTCCAATGGATCAATCTGATCCTCCAGCATTGATTCTCTTTCTATATCTAAGGTATTATTTATTTCTGGTAGAACCTCCTGTCTAATTTCAATATCTTTATTTAAACTAGAGTTTGTATCTATTGGTGACAAAATAACTGGTGTATAGACAGGGGTTTCTTTACAATTATCTTCAAAATCTTGACTATTCTTATTTGTTACAACCGTACTACAATTTCTCAAATCAGAAACATGGTAATGTTTTTGAACACCATTAACACTTATTATATAACGAACAGGACTCAAACATTGAACAATGAATGCTTTGGACCATCCTTTTCCTTCTTTCAAATTTTTACACCAAACACTGTCTCCCACTTTAAACATTACTTGTGCCATTAAATTATTAGCAGACTGAACAATTCTTTTTGACAATACATTTGAAGGTTTCATTAATTCAAAACGAGTCCTTGGTTTATACTTAAATATAATTTCATTTGGAGACATACCAGTAGAATTAGGTGCATTTCTGTAAGTAAATAAAAAATTTTGTAACAGTACTTCTTTGGACAATCCCTTTTTTTGCAAAATTATTTTACTCAGTGCTTGTTTTATAGTTTGAACTGTTCTCTCTGCCATACCATTAGATTCAGGATGATATGGAGGACTTTTTAAAGGAATACATCCATTAGATTTAAGAAAATTTAGGAATTCAATAGAAGTAAATGGTGGTCCATTATCACTAACTATTTCAGCTGGTATCCCAATAATAGCAAATGTTCTACACAATTTTTCAATTACTTGGCTCGCAGAAATGCCTAGCATAATATGAACATCAAGCCATTTAGATCTTGAATCTACTATTAATAAGTAAGTAGTCGAATCCTTCATAAAAAAATCTATGTGAACCCGTTCAAAATTATTTTCACATTTTTTCCAACTTACCGGCTCAATACTTTTAGTAAAGTTTCTGGTTGACTGGCAAATATCACATTTAGAAATTTCTGTTTCTATATCATTATTATAATTAGGCCACCAACAATATCCCCTGACTAACATTTTAGTTTGAACAATCCCCTGATGTGATTCGTGAAACATTCCTAACACTTTACTTCTTAACTGCTCTGGAATGATCACTCTACCTCCCCAAAGTACACATTTTTGTTCAGTTACTAACTCAGCTCTTTTACTAAAATATGGCTTTAAACATTCATCTGACATATAATTTGGCCAGCCTGTCATCACATACTCATATACCTTACTTAATATGGGGTCCTTTTGAGTGTACTTTGCTATCTCTTGATAACTTAATGGCACTTCATTCACAAAATTAAAATAGTTTATACTACCACTAACATCTACTTTTTCAGGTAAAGGCAACCTTGACAAGGCATCCGCATTTCCTAGTAATGAACCCTTTCGATAAGTAATTTCATATATGTATCCTGACAATATTAGCGCCCATCTCTGTAATCTTGAATTTGCAGTAACTGGAATTTTTTTTTGTGGGTCAAAAATAAATTTTAATGGCTGATGATCAGTCACTAAAATAAACTTTCTCCCATACAAATACTTGTGAAATTTTTGTACAGCAAATATAATAGCTAAAGCTTCTTTCTCCACTTGTGAATAATTTTTTTGGGCATTATTTAATGTAGCTGATGCAAAACAAATAGGCTCCTTTTCTATCTTATGGCTTAATACTGCTCCTATACCATATTGACTAGCATCTGCTGTTACATACAAATCCTTCATACAATCATAATGCACCAATAAACCATGCTCCAATACTAGTTTTTTACTTAATTCAAAAGACTTATTACATGTCTCTGTCCAACGAAACGGAACATCTTTTCTTAATAGGTTATGCAACGGTGCCAAATGATCTGCTAATCTGGGTAAAAATTTTCCATAGTAATTTAGCAGCCCTAAGTATGCCTGTAACTGAGTAATTGAACCAGGTGGTGGAGCCTTAGCTATGGCTTCGATTTTATCTGGTAAAGGTCTTATACCCTGACTACTAATGATATGTCCTAAAATTTTAATTTCTTTACAGAAAAACTGACATTTTTCTAAATTTACTCTAACATTATATTGTTTAAATCTTTGTAAAACATTTTCCAAGTTTTTTTGACAATCCTGCGAACTATTTCCACTAATAATAATATCGTCAATGAATACTCTAACATTACTAACATTCTGCAGTATTTGATCCATAACACTCTGAAAAACAGATGGCCCACTTGACACACCAAATTGTAAACGAGTAGGTCTAAATAATCCTAAATGGGTATTAATAGTCATATACTCTTGTGACTTATCATCTAATAACAATTGTTGATATGCTCCACTAAGATCAAGTACACAAAAACAAGTTGCTCCAGCCAATTCAGAAAATATATCTTCTGGCAGAGGCAAGGGATAATGATCCGTGTCTAATTGTTTATTTAATGTGACTTTGTAATCTACACAAACTCTTATGTTTTTATTACTTTTTTCTACTATAACAATGGGGCTAGCCCAATCACTGTGTGTAACTTTTTTAATTATACCTGACTTGACTAAATTTAACAATTCAGCTTCAACTTCTTGCTTTTTTGAATAGGGAATTGAATATGCTTTATGAAATGTGGGTGTTGCTCCATCTTTCAATTTCAACTTGGCCTTAAAATTTAAAATATGAGATGACCTATCCTTTGAGAATACTTCTTTATATTTGACCTTTAATTGACTTACAATGTTACTTGAATCAAAATTATCACAATTTACCTGTAAATCAGACACATTATTTATTTTAAACATATTTTGCCACTTTGGGAATAGCAAAGTTAGCCAATTTCTGCCAATCAAAGGGCTAAAGTAACTATCAGTATTAATCACTATTAAAAATAAATCCTTTTTAATATTATTTGTCTTAACTCGTATTGCTCCCAATACTGATAATTGCTCACCCGACACAGACTTTAGTTTTACATTACATTTTCTTAATTGATATTCAGGAAAATATGTGTCATAGTCCTTTTTGTGTATAACAGACTTACAAGCTCCAGTATCAATTTGCATATTTAGTCTTCTTTTTCCTAGTCACAATGTCATTGATGCCATATCCTGCTCTGAAATCTTCATGATACTTCCTAGAACTACCTCCTCCTGCTCTTCATGATGGTCACTGACCTCTTTCTCTTGTTCCACATTTTTAACATTGTTTCCTTTCATTGATAATTTAAACCGGCATTTATTTGCCAAATGCCCAGGCTTCTTGCAAACAAAACATATCCATTCTTTTTTAAAACACCTAGTAGTTAAATGAGCACCCCCACAACGTCTGCATTCTAGCTTCCCTTCCAACTTGAGATTTTGTTCTAAGTGGGGCACTTGAGCTTTGGATCCTTGCCGATATTGAGGCTTCTTTACTAAATGGATATTTCCATCTGGTTGTATGTACTTAGTGTCTCTTTCTGCACTCTCAAAAGCTAAAGCCATTTGGATACCTTTCTCAAATGATAAATCATCAGGCTCCGACAGTAATTTACTTATTAAAATGTCATTTCTTAATCCAGATACAAATCTGTCCCGAAGTGCTTCTTTTAAAAAAGTTTTAAATTGACAATTTGCAGCTAACCTTTTGATTTGAACAACAAAATCATTTATGGACTGATTTTCCTTCTGTTTATATTGGTAAAACTCGTATCGCGCTGCAATTGCTGATTTCTTTTCAATATAATGCCCCTTTAAAACCTCCACTAATTTTGTGTATGATAACGAGCTCGGTACCTCTGGAGACACTAAATTTTTTAATGTTTCGTAGCTTTCCGGCCCAATCAAAGTGATAAACAAGGCAATCTTCTTTTTTTCTTCTGTAACATCATTTATAAAGAAATATTGTTCCATTCTCTCGGTGTAAGCCGAAAAATCGGTACCCACGCGATAGTTTTCTATCGACCCAATCATGATTTCTTTTTACCTCGTCGCCAATATTTTGTCTTATAGTGAAACGCACCAATTTATTTTACTCTTTATTTCTTGGTTATAATAAAGGTTTATACTTTTATTTTTAATCACTGGAAAACACTAAATTCAGTTAATACTACTGAGCGGGGGAAACCTCTTGTCAAACCTGTTTGACACTCCCTGTCATTACTTTTTTACTGACACTCTATATACCACACTTCTCAATTCGTGACGTCCGTTTTTCTTCTTGGTGAGATAAAAATTGCTCCTTTTTATTTTATTTTTCTTCATCTGTACGTAGTTTATAAGTTTCGCAAAACTCGCATGCATCTTTTTTAGGAATAAAAAAAGATATATTAAAGTCCTGAGTAAGGATGCGGTAGAACATGATGTAATTCGCATAGGGAATGTTTTGGGCCTTGCAATGTTCAACATAGTCCCGGTGAATATCGGAAATAGTTTTACTCCCATAAATGTTATGCCTCTTGGAATTGGCTGGAATGTAATTCAACTCTATTTTTATAGCTTCGATAAAAGCTTTAACTCCAGGTTTTATAGCTTCGTCAATGTAGGGATGATTTTTATCACATTCACAATTGTCTTTAATCAAAGAAATGTTTGTATTTTTATTCTTTTTTTTTTGGGTGGTTTCTATAGGTCTATTATTAATGACCAAGGTGTTTTTGAAAAAGTAAGCATTATTTTTTACGCGCTTTGGCGCTATTATTCCGTCAGAATTAATCCTGACATATCGCTGGGCTGGTTTCACCTCTTCTAAGGCCTGAATTATAAATTACCACTGTCTTTCAATTTCACCCAAATCCCAGTACTCTTTCAAAAGTTGTTGTCGTTGAAGTTCTGTTATATTTGCGTAGCATTTAAATTTACAGGTTTCTTTACAAGGATGCTTAAGTCTTCGTTCTGAAACATTCTTTAGAGTTTTTGTTGATTTATAAGGTTTCCCACTATTTTTCAATTTCTTTGCAATGTTCTTCTTATATTTTATTTGGAGGCCATTGATTTTCGGTACTCGGACTTCGGTACGGTGCGGTGTCAGTAGCATCGATTGGATTTTCATTAGAAATTAAAATTACTGAGTCGATGTCTAACCTTCCTTCTTGGTTTATCGTTTGCTGACTCGTCGCAGCTGTCGAAACATTATTGATTTCATCATTGGGTGAAAACACTGGTTGGCACTTGAATCTCTTTATAGCCGGGATTTTTTACGGAGTCATCGCTATCCTCAGAGAAAGTTGAAGAACTTGAAGAGCTGCTACACAAAGTACTTGGAGAAGATGAACTCGTTGATACACTGCGATGGAGATGAGTTTGTGTCGTTTGTTGGTCGTCAAATGTTTTATCCTAGTTACCAGTATTTGAACCCGGGTTGTTACGAGCATTTAGGTTGCTACTGGGCAAATCCTCGTTCATGTTTGTTTGTGCTAATTGCAATATTCGTTTAGATCTTGTCCCCATCTGTAAAGATAACTGGAGTTTTATATTGCTGTTTAGCGTAACAACGTGGCAAATGGACATTCCATTAAATTTAATCAATATGTATGTATTCTGCAAACATAGAATATCAACAAATGCCGCACAACATCTTTCCTGTATGAAAGAAATCAGGATCATCTACAAGAGATCATTTACAAGAACACTGTGACAAGTATGACGTGCCAAATTGTCGAATAAAAGAAAATTATTACAAGAGACTCACCTTTATCAGCTAAATCGTGGTAACCTCGTGATGTCACGTTTTTGATGAAAACCGACACTTCACACGTCGAAGCTCAAGTGACAACTGAATTGTCACTCTGTTGAAGCCAACTAGATCACCAACCGAGACAACGCTACACTGTGATATTTTGTATCTTTCTCTCATTTTCTTTGCTGTTTTTGTAGCAAAAAATATCGTGTTTTTGGAGATCATAGAACGCGAGATCGCGATTCAGAATTTCAATAAAACGAAAAATCGTATAATTCGAGATTTCACACTATGGCGATGTCAACTCTGATGTGACATGGTTTGAATTCCGTGAAATGTGTTTAAAAATTTGGAGTGAGCCTTACAACTATGTCGTAATAAATAAAAACTGATCTAAAAATGACGGATGTTCCAGAAATAATTTTGACACATTTGTAGTCTTTGAATAAGAAAACATTTATAATTAAGACCACTAGCTACGCGATGTAATTATTCTTTGAACGACTCTTAAACGATAACTATCTGTTTAATTATTATAGAAAAAACATTAAAAAGACAAATTATAGATGCTGCAGAAGCTGTAGAGAATTTATTTATTTATTTATTAATACATTTACAATAAAAAAAAATACAAAAATTTGGAATTAACAGCGGTTTCCGCACTAAGCTCGTAGCTTGTATCGCGGCAACCAAGTGATTACATATTGCTCATTGTCATTTTGTAGCGCACAGCGGTTCTAAGAGTAGTTACATGGGTTTTATAGCTTAGTTGTTGTTGTAGTTGAACGGACGATCCAAATGAGCTGGTAGATAGGTCAAAGTTATTAATTGCATCTCGAGATGCTGGTAACACAGGGCTGGACAATGAAATAATATCCATAATTGAAGAATTACATTAAAGTAAAATTATTAATAAATAAATAATACGTTATCAACTATCTACGTTTCATTTTACTTTAGAACTTTCAGTTTATTACACCTTAGGCATAAATGTGGACAAGTTCGGGTATTAAATTCATAAGAGAATGCGTTTATCGGAATTACTTGAGTTTAATAATAATGCATTGCTAAAATCGGATATCGATGATTTTGATTCGAAAACTTAGTCCGCGACTACATCACCCTTGTGATGCCGAGGGCATAAACAGTAAATCAAGTCTTTTAGGAATTTAGAAAATATTATAAAAAGGTTAACGATACCGTACCAATAACATATCATATAGAATCTATTTCTAATATGGCTTGTTTTCGTTGAGCTATATTTTAGATCAACGAAAACAAGCCAAAAAAGCACGCAATTACGATGCATAATGCAATAGGCCTACACGTGAGACCAAGCGCCTGACTGATGTTACTAACACTAGGCTAAGAATATTGTTACTAACAAATTATATGGACTTAGTCTGAAAATAAATTATTATTATTATTATAATAGGTTGGTAGCGATGATCCTGATGACACAGTAACCAATTACATGCTTCTATTTTATTTTCGCCGACATTGATCAACACGAGTTTATGAACCTTGTTGTCAAACACAGTATTATCTTCTGTATGCCGTTGCAATATGTTTGATTTTACTTTGAAGAAATTCTTATTTTTAACTTTTTATTATTAAGTCGTAACTTGTGCGATAAAGTTTGTATAGCGACAACGGCAAGGTCATTGACACTTAGTACTTTAGCTTTGCGTAAACATATGGTGTTGTAAATTACGAAACACAAAAATCAGTCCTGTGGCCAAACTACTGAATATATTTCGTTCATATTTTGCAAATCGTCTAGAAATAAAGTGCAGAATATGATGTTAAAAGCTTCGTGATAAGATAAGGGACATACTGTATAATATAAGAAATATATATATATATATATATTTTATTTATCTCTTTATTGTACACCATGGAAGTATTATATATACAGATATTAAATACATTTCGGTATAACAATAGGCGGTCTTATCGTTCACGGCGATCTCTTACAGACAACCTTTATACGGATATTGTCAACAAAATTAGGGTAGCCTGAGATGTACAATTACAACAAATTGAAAAAATAAATAAAAGATACTAATAAGAAACATAAGGTTACTAATATATACGTTTAAAGTATATTTAAATACATACAGGTATGTATACTAAGCTAAATTGTTAAATACCTAAAATCCATGATAAGGTTGTCTGGAAGAGATCGCTGTGAGCGATAAGACCGCCGATTGTTACTTTTACCTATTTGTAACTCATCTTTTGTTTTGTTTTTTTTTCTATTAGTGTATACAATAAAGATATAATAATAATAATAATAATAATAAAGTTATTACAAACAACTGAATTAGGATAACAAGCTGTTAACAGTCCAGTGGTTCGGACGTCGACTGCACTGAGATAGAAGGGAGTTCGATTCCAACCTAATTCACTTCACTGGTGACCCACGACAACTAGTATTCTTTGAGTTTATTACTATACTATAACTCGAAACTAGTAAATTAGAAACATGCCGCTTACTGGGGAAGAGGCAAACAAGGACTTCTTTATGGCCTACCGCGTCGGAGTGAAGGTACCGGTGTTCAACGCTGATGATCCGCTGCTGTGGTTCGCACAATTGGACGGACAGTTTACCCTTTCCAATATCACTACTGACTCCACGAAGTTCTACTACGTGCTGGCACAGCTAGAACCCCAACATTCAGCAGAAGTACGAGACCTTATAGTATCTCCGCCCGCAACTGATAAATATGAGAAGCTGAAGACAGAGCTGATCAAGAGGCTATCGGCATCGCAAGAGCGCAAAATAAAACAACTGCTTATGCATGAGGAGCTCGGTGACAGAAAGCCCACACAATTTCTTCGCCACCTACAACAACTAGCTGGACCAACTGTTCCTAACGATTTTATCAGGTCAATTTGGTCTAGCAGGCTTCCGGCGAATCTTCAGACCATAGTAGCCATGCAAGCCAATTCAAGCTTGGAAGATGTAGCAGAGCTAGTCGACCGTATAAACGACATCGTACCAGTCACTGGTCAAGTCGCCACTAGCATGCCAGTAACCGGACAAGTAGCAACTGCACAGTCGGCTATGAGCAGCAGAGGAGGAGCACAGGGTAACACTATTGACGCTCTAACGCAAGCTGTGACCGAACTGACTCGCAAGATGGAACGCATGAGTACCGAACTACAAAGAGTACACCGTTCTCATAGCAGAGGACCCAGAGGAGGTAGAAGTCGTTCCCGGTCACGTTCT